TTGAAATCTACTTAATGTCTACTAAACTGATCTTCTGTATATAAAGAAAACTGAAAATGAATCTTGATAAGAATGGAAGGGGGGAGAGAGCGGGAAAGGGGAGGGTTGCGGGTGGGAGGGAAGTCATTGGGAGGGGGAAGCCAATGTAATCCATAAGCTGTAATTTGGAAATCTATATTCATTAAATAAAAGTTAAAAAAATTATACATATTCATGAAGTACAGTATGATATTTCAGTTACATGTATAAAATGTATAATGATCATATCAGGGTAATTGGCATATCTATGACTTCATATAAACAAAAATTCTAGCTACTTTGAAATATTCAATTAATTTTTGTCAGCTATAGTTATTCTATAGTACTATGGAACATTAGAAGTTACTCATTCTATCACATTACACTTGTGATCCATTATCCATCCTCTTTCCATTCTTGTACATACTGTAATTCAGGGATAATAATACAAGAAAAAAGATTTCCTTTGACCTCTATCTTTTCCTTGTAGAAGAGGGAGAGATAAAGATTTATATAAAGTAATAATGTCCCTGGGCTTCATAACACTAGCCCTTTCTCTCTTATAAAGTACTCAAGATTTATCGTTAAGATTGTTCTCTAATTCCACATTAAATTCAGAATAATAAAAAAAGCACACAGCAACTTTAAGAGGTCAACCTTATGGTATAAAACTTAGTTAATAAAGATGAATTATAAGTAGGAGAAACACTCATAGTATCTAGAAGTACATTCATCATCTCCCCTGCAACTCCGTATAAACCATGCAACTTAAATTATATATGTGAGAATGTATTGGTTTAACATCACACTGGCTGCTATGCCAAACACCACCAAAATGTCAGTGGCTTCATAACTAGAATTTTATTTTCACATAACAGTACAACATGGGTGTTTCTGGTTGATAGACAGCTTGTTTCTTCATGACTCAGAGAACCAGTTCCTTTCATAGTGTGGCTCCATCATCCCCTAGAACTAAGCTGGAAAAGCCAATGAGACAATAGAGATGCCTCATATACCTCTAAAAAGCCTTGCCCTGACTTTTTATTGGTGAGAAGTAGTCAAATTGCCACCCCTGTATATAAGAGAGTGGAATGGGCTCATAAATGTCCCTGACTGGATAACAGCTACTCAAAGGGAGAAGACACTTTGGGAAGTTGAATATAAGTTTTGAAGATGACTGGTTATTTTCAGCAACATAGACAAAGTTAATAAAATTCAATTCTGCTAAGTATAGAATTACTCAAAATTGATTCCCATTCATTTATGATCCTAAAAGTAAAATCAGTTTTCCAAATGACCTCTGTGGATGTCTTGAAGAAATGAATCCATCAGCAGAAGGATCAGGGCTACACTTACAAAAGAGAATTTCCATAAAAATACCTCGAAGTTCAGTTTCTCATTCCTAACCTGGTGGGTTTGGTTCAATTACATCACCGTGCTCATTTGACAAATGAGAAAGTGGGAAAAGGAAGAGGAGTCCCAAATTTTTCAGCAAGTGCTTTCTATTCTAGAGTAAGATCAAACACTAACCATGGGTTAAGAAAGTCTTACTACTCCAAGTCACTTTACTTAGCTTATCGAAGACTGAAGACACCAGCACGATGTGGTTATGTCTCCACTTGTGTGATAAAGTACAGGAAGGAGGCCAGACCTCGCATGGGGAGGCCCCAGCAGACATAGGAGGTTATCGGTCAAGTCCAGAGACAGATAAAGATACTCCAGGTGATGCAAATTGGCATGCATGGTGTTTTGTAAATTTCTCTTTAGATGCCAACACTGCCAAATCAGAAGATTCAGCATAAAGTCCAGATTTCTGGCTTCTTTTGAAAAATCACAGGTTGCACCCCTGGGCATACTACTTCCATGTGGCAGAAATATAATCAGAAAGATTGGATTGATATGTTTTTAAACAAGTGATCTCTACTGCATTCACAATTCTCGCCCCATTTTTGTTATTTGTATACCTTTCTATATGGCTGTGTTTCCATTGACTCTCCCTGAGAAATCCCATCAACTTTACCTTAGATGGAGAATTCAGGTCCAACTATCAGGCTTCTCAAAATGCCTGCTGGGCCAGGAAACAATTGTCTAGTTTCCTTTCAGATCAAGTTGTAAATGGGCAATCTAAAACCACAGCGATTTAAGCAGGAGGCATAAGCATCATGTTTAGAGGGGCTGACTATATAATTAGGACATACTCACTCCCTAAGCATCAAAATCAATTATCCTGATAAAACCCTAGGACAGCTAACCACACTTGAAATATACATTTATAGAAAGAAAAAGAAAAACCAAAACTAATTTTAGATGATCAGGAGAAGGGCGTTCTCCGGGGACACAGCTGAGTTCATTCTAGGACATTTAACACAGCCTGCCTTTTATTTTTTAAATGTGATGCACAGGCTTTAAGTCAAAAGAGAGAAGCTTCAGCTAGGACCCAAGTTGGGTAATTACTAAAGCTTAGTGAGTCTTAAAGGAGTTAGCCAGGCAGGTGTTGTGGAACAGCAGGCTAAACCACTGTTTGGGATGCCCACATCTCATATGGAAGTGCCTGATTTGAGTCCCAGCTACTTGGCATTTCTGATCCAGCTTCTTGCCAATGCATCTGGGAAGTAGTGGATGGCAGCCCAAGTGCTTGAGTTCCTGCCACCCACATGGGACCTCTGTATGAAGTTCCTGGCTACTGGATTGGATTCAACCTGGCCTAATTCTAGCTGTTGTGAGCATTTGGGGTGTGAACCAGCAGATGGAAGATCGAAGATTCATTCATTCATTTCTCCCCCCCCCCAAATAAAACTAAATAAATTAAATAAATAAATAAATCTTCAGGGGGGAAAAAGAGTTAAGTAAAGGTATCTGAAGATAAGGAGACTGATCTGAATCAAAGCCCACACAGCGCAGGACCACCATGTGCAAAAGCCTTTGGAAACAAGACCCAAGGTTTTGAAAGGAGGACGCTTCACTGGGTCTCCCTCGTATCTGAGCTGGAAGTTGGTTGTGTATACCATCTGCCCATATTGGCACTTGTTTCTCACATGACTCAGTGTAAGAACTGAATTCACAATGTAAGTTCAACTCTTCACTGTTGGCTACACATTCTACTTGACTGAAAAGAAATACACACTTCATCTAAAAATAATTAGCCTTTGAACAGCTTTTATTTCAATTGACTTGAAGCTTTTTATTGATTCCTCTAAGGTTTATGTGGTTGAGAAAATGAGATTCTCCTGGTGTTATCTTTCTTATCCTCTCCCTAGTGGGCATAAATCTCCCTCTGCCTTCATGCCCTTACTCCAAATACTTCACCGAAATCAGGGGCCACAAACTAGTGACTTGCAGATTCAATTAAGCTTTTTATTTGACTCCTGGTATGCATTAAAATTTCTGAATTTGAATGTTTTAAATAATAAACACAATTCCAGTTGGCCACAGTTCCTGCTACTTCTCTCTTACTTTCATAAAATCTAATTCACAGATTTGTTGTTGCTAGGACTCAACAGATATTGAGTTCAGAGATTCTGAAATTACTGTGTGAATTTTGTTAATGCATGTAAAGCCATAAGAACAGTACCTACCATGTAATAAGCATTTAATAAGTTGTTTATCACTATCATTATATCATCTTTTTTGATTCTGTATTGCTCTGTTTACTAGCAACATTTATTAAATTGGCTATAGTCCAAGAGATTTTTCTTTTTTCTTTTAAACCATGATTTTCCTCATTCCAATTATGTTTTTGCTTCTCCTTTTTTAATAATATCTGATTTTTACAGAAATAGTTTTTACTAATTAGACCACACTTAAGGGCAAATGGAAAACAGACAAGTGACCAAATAAACATCTTAAGCTGAAGAACCACAATGCAGGTATGTGTGGAAAACAAATATGTTCAAAGTGTGACAGACAAAAATAGAAAAACTTAGTGGAAGTTTAGGGAAAAAACTGCCTTAGTTGCAACTGATGGCGAATCCTTAGTGTTTTCCACAAAAGCATACTCTTTTATAAGAGGACAGCTTGTCAGGAAGACCTGGTTCCATGGGACCCTTCCTCAGCTTCACTTTTCAGAGAAAGACATTTCCCAATGATTTTGTGAAAGCAATTTTGAAATCCTAGACATGAGAGGAAGATTCATTGGCACTACCTTATTCTTTTCTCAGTACACAGACTGCCAAGTGACTGAGATCCTCACAAATCCTCTTTTTATTTAGTGAGAGTAAACTTGGAATAGTGAGGCTAGAACCTTGGATTCAGAGGAACGATTTGGTGTTCAAATCTTGACTTTGCCCTAAAGTACTTGGACTTCATCACTTCAGTTTCATTGTTTCATTAATGATGATGTGATTTATCGAACAATGTATTGAATGTATATTCACTCAGGATTTAAAAATAAGTTCCTGGTTCACTTGGTTAATCTTCCGCCTGAGGCACCAGCATCCCCTATGGGCGCCAGTTCAAGTCCCGGCTGCTCCTCTTCCAGTCTATCTCTCTGCTGTGGCCCAGGAAGGCAGTGGAGGATGGCCCAAATGCTTGGGCCCCTGCACCCACATGGGACACCAGGAGGAAGCACCTGGCTCCTGGCTTCGGATCAGCGCAGCGCCAGCCGTAGTGGCCATTTGGGGAGTGAATCAACGGGAGGAAGACCTTTCTCTCTGTCTTTCTCTGTCTATAACTCTACCCGGCAAAAAAAAAAAAAAAAAAAAAAAAAGTCCCTTCATCTTCCCTAGCTCAGAGCATAGTTAATCAAAGACAAAGAATGCATTTTAATATTTCAAGAAAAATAATAACTTTCTGTTGGACATGGTGTCTCGGGCAGTTAACTTGCTTCTTAATCATTTTAGTAAAATCAAAAGCACTTTCCTCATTCACATTTTTATCTCCAATGTGGTGGATCCCAGCTCTATCTTTCCACCAAAAGCATTAAAAGTAGAAAAGTTCTTCATGGTAACGACTACATGGTGAAAGTACTCCAGTACTAACACAATAACTTCAAAGCCTGGAACCTCTACATTAGCTGGTGTCAAGTGGCTCTCTAAATAGCATAATTATTACCTTAAATTGTAGAATGAGTTGATTTTAGATGCTGAATTTCTAGGGCATATGTATAAGGCACCATGAGTCTCATTCCTGGAACATGATAAACAACTCATTCCATGTCAAGGTCACAGAATTTAATGCACACTTCTGGGAAAAAAATTATGGGAATTATGGGAAAATGTTTTAATAACTCTGTAAAACAGACAAATGTCACTGGCATGCAACAATGAATATTTTTTTCTTTTTTATTGTTTTAAATTTTGTTTAAAACAAGTTTATGCAAGTTTCACATATTTCACATATATAGATTTAGGAACATAGTAACACATTCCCCCTCTACCCGCCCATGCTCCAACCCTTCTTCCTCCTCCCTCTCACATTCCCATTCTAAACTTTTACAAAGATCTATTTTCAGTTTACTTAATGATCATGTAGGTAACCCTACACTAAGTAAAAGACTTCAACAATAGCATGAAGAAAAAAGAAAAGAAAAAAAACTTCCTCAATGGAAGAGAAAGGTTGTAAACAATTATCAAATCTCACAATAACTATTTCACTCCAATACATTACGTTTCAGGTACTCTATTAGTTACCTTGGATCAGGGTAAACACGATATCTGCCTTTTTTGGGACTGGCTTATTTCACTAAGTATAATGGTTTCCAGTTGCATCCATTTTGTTGCAAAAGACAAGATTTCATTTTTTCTGTGAAAGACAGTATGAAGATACCTCAGAAATCTGAATATACACCTACCATATGATTCACTGCAGCACAATTCACAATAGAAAAGATTTGGAATCAACCCAGATGAAATCAGCTGTTGACTGGATAAAGAAATTATGGTATATACACATTATGGAGTACTACTCAGCTGTAAAAAAATAATAAACATTTATTTAGCTCATGAGTTTGCTAGATGCATCTGATACTAGCTGAGTGTTGCTGAGCTTAGCTGGGCTTGTTCACACATCTGTGGCTCATTATCAGTCTTGACTTTGGCTGGACTTGTTAATATCTCTGTATCAACAGGATGCTGACTAGTCTAGGAGGACTGTGGTCATGTGGCTAGGTAATTCAACCCTGTTCATGTATCTTATCTTCCACCGGACTAGTCCATGCATTTTCCAATGACATGGCAGAAGGACAGAAGCAAAAGTTAAACAAATGCTATTCCAAGTTTCTAATGGGACCTTATCTACTAACATCCCATTGGCCAAGTAAGTCAAATGATCACCTCATATTCAAGGAGACTCTGTATTCAATAGACTCTACACCTTTAGTAAAAGGAACACAGAGTCATAGACAAAGGCGGGGAATACAGTAGGAAAAATATCGGGGTTATTAATCCAATCAGAGTATCAAAGAGGAGAATTGACTACATTTTGTTATTAGTGAGTCATAACAATGGAAAGCCACTAACTTCTTTGGGCCTCAGGTTTGTGTCAAGTGAAAATAAAGAGTCTGACCATATAATTACTACCATCCTTTCAAAGACTTCTGAGTCTTGGAGGATTTGACTATATAATTGCTAGTGTTCTTCTCCAAGGTTTCTGCAGTAATCTCTAGATGCCTAAGAGATGATTACAAAAGAAATTTTGAAATATATTTCTAGGAAGTATACAACATGAGCTATATTAGGAAAGGACAACATTTTAGGAGAGGTATTTTAAGAAAGGGACTAAGAAGGCGGAATAGATATGGGAGTTACAGGAATACATTATGTTCTTGTTATGTTTCAAGAGCATCTTTCCTCTATGATGGTTTCATGAGGTATAAGGATATGTACACAAGTTTACACATAAGAGCTATGTTCAGAGTGCATTTGACTTGGGGTTTGAAATAAAATTTAAAATGTAAATACATGTTAGGAACTCTGTGAATTATGCCCAGTTTCAGGTTTCCCTCTTATTGATGCAGTATTTGGATCTATTTAGCATTTGGTCCATGTTGGTCTTATCTCCTCCATCTTTCTGCTCTTCATCTAATAGCTTCCAATAAACACTTTGAATCCAAACTTGTACATGATCAACTGCAAAGTTGTGGAGAGATAAGATGTACAAAAGATAATACTTTAATATATGTCTAGACCCTGAAATCATGGAAGATGATAGGCGATCACTGTTGGAAGAGCTTTCTCTAAAGAGATGTTATTCATAGTATGGTACTGAGACCAGCAACATCAGCCTCATCAGGGTGCTTGACAGAAATTTAGAATCTCATGCCTGACACTAGATCTCCTGAATCAGAATCTACATTTTAACAAAATCCCAAGCTGCTTTGCAGGTACATTAATTTCTTGCAATTTGATCATTAGGATGTCCATCTTGTCATTTTTAACATGTAATAATCTAAAAACTGTTCTTAACCACAGAGTTCATGAGATTCCACCATTGCGATCTGTGACTAATTATAGGTAAAAAAGTGACAGCAATTTTTATATATTATGCCATATTCAATCATTGAGATTCATACTCTCACATTCTCAACACTTGTGCATACTTATATTCCTTTAAAATATTTATTTTGAAAATCAGAGATTGTCGCTCCCCCTCTTCGTGGAGGAATGACACTGAACCCTGCCTAGGCTTCATATCCGAGTCACAGCACCATTATGTCGCTCCCCCTCTTCATGGAGGAACGACACAGGACCCTGCGCTGTTCTTTTGTCTGCTCGGCCCTCCCCGGGTTTGCTACTGGTTCTTCCCGGGTTGGCTACCGTCCCTTCCACCTCCGTGGAAGGGCGGTTCCCCCTGCCACTTTCCCCACTTCCGCGGGGGAGCGGCACACCGCTGGCCGGCTCTCTCGGGGGCTGCTCAGATGTTCCTCAGGTGTTCCTGGTGCATGTTGTCTCTCTCCTCCTTTATAGTCCTCTTCCACCAATCCCAACTCTGCTACCCACACGCCGAGTACGCTGCTCTCCTCCAATCAGGAGCAGCTCCTGCAGCTTGTCAAGTTGGTGAGAATCAGCTGTGTAGAAGCTGTTTCCTCCTCTCCCAGTGCCATATTGTGGGAGAGCAGATGCATAGAATAAGTCTTAATTCCAGTAACTTAGTCTAGTCCGAGTTGCTCCCAGTTGCTCCCCACAAGAGATAAAGGGAGGGAGGGAGGAAGGGAGGAAGAGAGAGCAAGAGAGAGAGAGAGGACAAGAATAATATCTTCCATCAACTGGTTCATACCCCAGATGGCTGCAATAGGCAGCACTGGCCCAGGCCAAAGCCAGGAGCCAGGAGCTTCCTCTGGGTCTCCCATGTGGGTATCAGGAACCTAAACACTTGAGCCATCTTCCGCTGCTTTTCCTAGGCCATTAGCAGGAAGCTGGATCAGAAATGATGCATCTAGGATACGAACCAGTGCTCATATGGGATGCCAGTGTTGTAGGGGACAGCTTTACATGCTATGCCACAACACTGGCCTCTGTATTCTTTTCCTTTAGATTGAGTGAGGAAGTTGGAAGTTTAACCTAGGGAACTTTGTCGCCACAAATAATGTCATCTATTGTATGTCCCATATAAAATGTTGAAGGCTTCTACCCTAAGATAAAAGTATTACCAAGAATATTGGCAGATACTACAAGGCTTAACTTTTTCACTCCAATCTCCTCTATACAGCATTTCTTGTAGCACTTTAAGCTGCTGTCTACTCTTCATTTTAAACATCTTTAGCTCATCTTGTCTGGAGTACCCATTCAGCCCAGCATCTCGTTTTTCCCATGCTTTATCACCCATGATGGATTCTTATTCTTCATTTCCACAGCACCAAACACAGGGCCTTGCATCAATCAAAGTGCATGGATGCTTTTTTTTTTTAATTATAAATGCATCAACTAGCCAGAATGTGGTCTAAGCACCATGACTATCTTGCATTTACCAAATAGCAACCCAAATAATACAACTGGAATGACAAGGACCACTTACTAAGGTGTTAAATGTTTGTAACTACAAATCCATAGTTTTATACAAATAAGATTATGTTGTATGAATGCATAAACATTCACAATATATAAAACATTTAACATATATGATCTCATTTAAAACTCTTTACCATAAGCCAGTGAAAATTGGTATTATTATCTCTATTTTTATACAATAGACAGTTGAAATTTCAAGAGCTTAAATAAGCTTACCAAGGTCATGCTTACTGAAAGGCAACATTCTAGATCCTACACAGAGAAAAAACATATCGGTCCCAAATGAATTATCCACTTAGTGTAGATCTATGACAATAGTTTAATTTGTATTTGTTTTCTTAGCCCTTTGCCACAGGCCCTTTGTTAGTATTATTCAAATAATGAAAATTTTAATATAATTTTCAAGCAAATATAATTATTTAGAAAAATTGACCAAATATATGTGTGCACCATACTGTAACACATGATAAAAAAAATACCCCCTGTGAATTAACTGTATTCTTCCATGTTGGCATAAACTATCCAATTTATTTCTATTTAGATCTGGAGTATTTACAACTTTGATCTAGAAATATTGGTCATCATTTTACTCCTTTCTATTTCTTTCTAGTTCTAACTCAATGGCAACCTTGAATTACAAGGTGAAACAAAAACTACATTTTACTTGCATGATTTGTAATTGTGAACTTCAGTTCATGTTCACTGGGAATTGTTTGTCTATAGGGGTCACTCCTGCCCTGGGTTAAGGCAGAATCAAAATAGTCTGTAGTTACTTGCCTGTGCTTGTAAACTACTCACTGTTAGTTCAGGTTTGGGTCTCTGATTCCCTTTGCAGACATTTTTTTCTTCCAGTATGCCTCTTGGATCATTAGCTTCCTTGCCTCATCCCCTGAATTATGGAGTGAGTTTTACTAGTTCCTGTTTCAAGGGTGGAGACCCCTACAGTTTATTCTGAGGAAACTTAGAGGAAAACAAACAAACAAACAACAACAACAAAACTGGAATGTTTAGGATATATCATACAGGCCCATTTTCCAACAATCCTTGGTGGGTAGCCTGACTGACCTCACTGTGTAATTTTCATATGATCTTTTTATTTCTATTCTTGGTTAAAGTAAAAATTCATGAGATTATTCTAAAAATAAGATGAGGGCTTTCAAGGTTGCTTAGGCTAATTTTGAAACCACCCATTCCATGAATATACTTAAATGCTTTTCCCATTGTTTTTAATATCCTTTTAGCAGACTGTTGATGCTGAGGTTAAAATTCCAGAGTCCCTGCAGTAATTCTTCATAAAGTTCTGCATCTTTATTTTTTTGTATTTCTATTTTTTTATTTTGGTTTCATTTTAGAATGCAATTTCATGCTAAAAATAAAATAAGCACAATACCATAAAAATGACAAGTAGAAAAAAATGAAAATTCTCATAAGGCCAACACAGTTTAGACTTTTGGGTATCTTTTCATAATAGTTCTAGACTTTTAAAAAATATTCTCATAATCATAGTCCATTTACAACTGTAGGTACTTTTCATTCATCACAATATTACTGTGATAATTATAGCATAGTATATATTCTATCCTAAGAACTTATATTTTTAAAGCCATTTATTAGTTTTCAATTATTTGACCACATCATATTGCTTTAAGTAGAAGCATCAGAATTTGTTTTTATAAAAAAATTTCAATTTTTGATACTTTGTTGTTTCTTTGCACATTTGACTCTTTTCCCTACTATCTAGCAATAAATTTCAAAATATTTTCAGCAAGGTAATTATAGTACCATATCACTGTACCT